TGGCTTCCCAGGCACTCGGCATTTTCAATAGTGACTTTTTTTTTTTTTTAATGGATGTTTATAGTGATTACTGTTATGCCGCAGGTTTTTTACTAATCATTAGGAAGCTGGCTATCCAAGCACCTGGAATTAAATAATTTGTCTGACAATTCATTATAATCAAAGGGGCAGGCAATTAATGACTAATTAAATCCACTGAGATGCTGTGGGAAAGGAGTGTTAATCTTGTTGCTCAGCTACGGTGGAAAGTGGACAGATACAGAGCTGTTAGATGTTAATTTGGAAAAGATGACATTTCTATAACATAATAGGTTACTTAAGTACATCAGTAGTGAACTTACTACAGCTATTCACTTCCCCAGGCACAATAAGCTGAAAGAACCCTTTGGATTCTTCCCCTTTCCCCAGTCTGGATTAATTATGATGACTGAGGACTTTGAAAGGTTTCAGATTCCTTTGAGTTAGGAAAAGCATCCGGAAGACGGATTGACTGGCTTAGTTGGTTGGAAAGCCTCTGGAGTGTACGCTGGCTGAAATATGTAGTTAGATGGACTCACTCACACACCAGAAAAATACGGGAGCTGGAATAGCACAACATTGGGATTATCTGTGGTACTGGTGTAGGACACGTTGTGGAAATCAGACCCAGATAATTAGGAAACATAATAATACTCTTTCAGAAATTTTTAATATCTTGTTTTATCCAGGATATAATTAGTAAAAAAGAAAATTGTCATAATCTTTTTTTTACCTAGTTCTAGTGGCTTTTCAGAAAACAAATGCTTCATCTGTCATAGATGCATATAGGCCAACTGTATGAGATTCAACAAGGCCAAGTGCCGGGTCCTGCACTTCAGCCACAACAACCCCATGCAGTGCTACAGGCTTGGGGAAGAGTGGCTGGAAAGCTGCCCGGCGGAAAAGGACCTGGGGGTGCTGGTTGACAGCCGGCTGAACATGAGCCGGCAGTGTGCCCAGGCGGCCAAGAAGGCCAATGGCATCCTGGCCTGTATCAGAAATAGTGTGGCCAGCAGGAGCAGGGAAGTGATCGTGCCCCTGTACTTGGCACTGGTGAGGCCACACCTCAAATACTGTGTTCAGTTTTGGGCCCCTCACTACAAGAAGGACATTGAGGTGCTGGGGCGTGTCCAGAGAAGGGCAACGAGGCTGGTGAAGGGTCTGGAGAACAAGTCTTATGAGGAGTGGCTGAGGGAACTGGGACTGTTTAGTCTGGAGAAGAGGAGGCTCAGGGGAGACCTTCTCGCTCTCTACAACTACCTGAAAGGAGGTTGTAGCGAGGGGGGTGTCAGTCTCTTCTCCCAAGTAACAAGCGATAGGATGAGAGGAAATGGCCTCAAGTTGTGCCAGGGGAGGTTTAAATTGGATGTGAGGAAAAATTTCTTTACTGAAAGAGTAGTTAAACATTGGAACAGGCTGCCCAGGGAAGTGGTTGAGTCACCATCCCTGGAAGTATTTAAAAGACGTGTAGATGAGGCGCTTAGGGACATGGTTTAGTGGGCATGGTGGTGTTGGGTTGACGGTTGGACTCAATGATCTTAGAGGTCTTTTCCAACCTTAATGATTCTATGATTCTATGATTACAGTAGAAAAACCAGGAATGAATCTGAGGAGACTAAGAACTGCTCTTGCCTGGAGTCAGTTCCTACTGGTGAGGAGAGAGGAATTTTGAAGTTCTTTGCCCAGAGGCTCTCCTGCTCCTTATAGAACCTTAGCAGGATCACCGTCATACCAACCAGATCCCCAGCATGCTGAAATCAATACAGCTACCTTGATTTAATCAAACTGAAGTAGACCATCTAATGTAATATATGGATCCTTAGTGAAACATACTTTGTTGAGTTGCTCATACCTGGACATTAGCAAGTTTCATGGAAATCAGTTCTTTCAGACTCCTCCTTAATGACTCCATGTACTTATAAAACTTAACTAGACAGAAGCCAGAGTCATGAGAAATGCCGTGGTAAATCCCAGTACGGCCCAGGGAAGTTCGTAAGATTGTCCCTAAAAGTTCAGGGAACAGAATTTGACTTTTTGGCAATAGGTTTCATGATCACTAGATCCTGACAGAGGAAGATACTCAACCTATCCCATCCTGGTTCAGGGCCGGATAGAAACAGCTTGGCATCTTTCAATGAGCTGTGCGACCTTAGAGGTTTCTTTTTATCAAGCCCCTGCTTCCTTTCACAGCACATTTGGCCACTTCACATATAGTGGGGTAGGAGGCCAGGAAATGGTCTCTGAGTGGAAAAATCTAGCTGCCATTTCTATTAACTCATCCAGCAGAATCACCTCCTCAGCGATTGTTAGAGCAGCTGCATTTTTTTTTTTCTGATGAATTGGCTTCTGTGGGCAGACAGAGAATGTTTTTAATATATCTTTGAAAAAACAGTGGTTTTAATAATAACTCTGTTTGCAGAGTAGCGTGTGAAAAAATACATTCACAGCATGGATCTGGCCAGACTGGTCGGACACTAAAGCTTTCCTTCACACTAGATCTTGGGCTGAAGCAGAGCTCAGCACGAACCTGCTGGAAGAACAACTCCTGGTGTGATGGCCTTAGTCTGACAGGATGCAACTAGGGCTTTAACACCAGCTTTGCTGTGACTAGATGCTTGGGCTTTGTATGTGGTTATGAGCTACTTGACCCTTCATGAGATCACCAAAAGCCCCTTTTGGGACTTTTTTTTTTTCTCAAGAGGCAGTGTTAGCATATCCATAACATGTGGTAGACTCTGTCTTAAATCAAAGTTGGTTGTTTTCCTAGTAATACTATATTCTAGCAAGTCTTGTGGTCTGGACTACTGACCAGATCACACTAGATCGTATCGTATCAATATGGTCCCTCCTGGCTTCAAAGTTAGTGAATCTAAGTATATTCAGCTACAAAGCCTCCACTCAGGTATTTTTAATGCTGAATTTAAAAACAATACCCAATTTGAGGTACTTACTGGAAAAAACCAGCATGTGTAGGCTGGCTAACAATAAGCGAGAATGCTGCAATCCCCTAGCCTTACCTTCACATAAAAAAAAGAAAGGAAGGTCAGATAAGGACAGATAGTATTTTTATAAGGAAGGAAGCTTTGCAATCTCCTAGTCTGCAGCTGCTGCACCAAAACGAGTCAGCAGGAGCTTTCAAGCCTCACAGTTAATGTGGCCTCTCTACTGAGCTGCTGTTTTGATTATTTACTCTGGTTTTCACTCTCACCCCTTTTTTCCTCATCTTGTGCAATAAAAAGTCCATGCACTTCATGGCTTATTGGGATGCAGAAAAAGATTGGAAAAGGCACTCACAGAATTAGTTTCTAAGCAATTGTATATGAATGCCCAGTTTCTGCTCTCATCACAAACTGGGATGCACTTAGGTTTCTAATTGTTCATTTATTTTCACAGAAAAACTGAGATTCAGATACTTTTCCCATGAAGACCTGACTAGCAGAAATGGGAAATTCAACAGTAAGAGCCCAACTTGACCCTGATGGAGGAGAGTTATCTCCTTACAGGGAATACAGAGGAGAATTAAACCTGTAACAGTTCTGCAGGACCATCCTCAGGCAAACACTGAGTACTATACTAATGCTTTTCAATTACTTGTACTTTTAGCAATGCTGAAGAAGCAGGTGCTGAAATCATGCCCTTTAATTTTATTGAATGAAGGCTGCTGCTTTTGAACACCAGATACTGCTATGAAGATAAACCATCTAGTTACAGTGCCCTAGGTCCTGGCAAAGGCAGTCAGAATCCCTGGGTTAGGAACCTGCCTCATGCCACTCAGCAGCAAAGCATTCATTATACCTCTGCACAGCATCAGCTTTCCTGCCTTGCGTTGTGCATTGCCTTGCACCCTATTGCCACAGTTTGCATTCAGACCTCCACAAAGCCCAGGCAGCTTTAAATGCCTGAGCTTCTCTAGCTACTGCCAGTGAAGAGGGGATGTGTCTGGCAGCAGCAGGCAGGGGAAACAGCAGTGGCTGGTAGGAACCTGGAAAGGGCCGGGGCACCACAGGGACCAAAGTCTCTCGAGTGAATCCAGGTGCCAGCGAAGGCTCCTTTACAAGTCTGAAGCAGAGAAGATGGATTCTGTAGGAATCAGGCTTTGGCCTGAAAACATTTCAGCATCCAGAGCTCTAGATGAAGGAGACTTTAAGCAATGTTTTGCGCACAAAATATTTGCTGTCTGCTGTTGGGATGATTTTCTAATGCCTGTAGATCTGATACAAATTACCACTGCAGTTTCAGATGGAGGCTTTATTCCTCACTTCCAAGTCAAAGCTGGGGAAACATTTTGCTATGCATTCTTAAACAGGTGCCCTATTATGTACCAGAGCTGGCTACCTTTTAATATAGATGAAATTATTCCTGTGCCCACATAATTTATAAACCACTTCACGATCAAAACCATTTCTAAGATGAGGAAAAAAGGTCTCAGTTCAGTTTCATAGGGAAAATGATTTGTCCCATAGCTTAATTTATAGCTTCTTCCTCTCTTTAAGTTCAGATTTGGAGACAAGTGTTGCGAATTTTAGCACAAGACATGTAGATGTTGGTGTTTTTCATGTCAAGCTGTTGGAACCAATGAAGTGACGGGCGAATCTCATCCTTCATTTTTAAAAATTATGTTTCTGCTTAAGAAACACTATAAAAATGAGACCAACTACACCCAGAAAAGCAGGAAAAAAAGGCAAGGTAAATAAAAAGATACCAAACTCATTGTATGCATAAGGGTCTGATGGCTTGGTCAGGCAAAATGTTCAATTTGGGGTTGACAGCGTTGTGGAATTCAGCTGAAAATGTATATGAACTAATGGATGGAAGAAAACGTATGCTATGATCTCCTTGCTATACTGAGCACACTCTATCACTGTTGATGGCATATCTTATAATTCCTAGAAAGCACAATTTAGGAGTCAAGAAATTGTAATGATAATTTCATAAAAGAGATTTTAAGTCTGTTTGCCTAACTTCTGTATTGTTGTTCACAGGATTTCTATGAAGATATCTTGAAAGTGCTTGGAGAAGAAGATGAAAATGAACAGGAAGAAGTTAAGCTCAAGCAGGGCTTAAGTGAACTCCCTGAAATTTATGAATTACACCAAGACATCCTGGGAGAACTGGAAGAAAGAGTCCTTAAATGGTAAGTATGGAATGGCATGGTTTGATGGCCTTAACATACCCTCCACAGCAGGTGGGTGAACTCGTCAGTGTTCCCTTGACCCCACTAGCAGGGAGGCTGGGATTCCAGAAGAGGTGAAAGGAGTAGAACCTGAACTACTTTGGCAGATTTTGCATACAGGCAGGAAGGAAGTAAATGTAGAGGCTGTCAGGCTAAGAAACCAAATACTGAAACATTTGCGCAGTGCACAGCCCATGACTCCGAAATGGCCCTGTCAGTCAATGTGAGGACAGACTGCTTCATATGCATTATCCTCTGATGCCAGTTCATAGTCATCACCAAGCAGCTTCACACTCATGGCCTGAAGGTCACAGACTCGTGCCATGGGAGGCAGGAACAGCAGACATCAGAACTGATCCTAAAGAAGATCATCTGCTTACAGAAATCTACACAGCAACTGCGTAGCTCTCAGATAAGGGACACCGCCTTGCTCCCAGCACCAAGGCAGAGCTCTGCACAGGCTAGGCTTCCAAGCCAAACAGACACTGTAAGCCTGCTGAGGGACTCCACCTAAGCCAAACATCTTCACAGCGTGGAGTCTTTCCATGAGAGAATAAGACCATGCCTAGGACAGCCGAAGCTCCAAAATTCATTCAGTTAACAAGACCTCTGACTTAAGTCAGGCTGCCAGGCCCTAGTCTATCAAACTGCTGGAATAAGAATGTCTAAGAGAAATTACCTCTGCAGACCCAAGCTGACTAAACCTACAGCAGCCAGCAGAGCCCCTGGCCTAGACTGAACTACTCTGGCTCTGTCAGCTTGTGATAGACCATGCAGCCCCACACCTCCACCCTGCTGGACTCCAGGAGGGAGTGGTCACTGACAGTGGCTGATCCTATCCCAGCACTGCCACTGAGCAGTTAAGGAAGTCAGATCAGGAGAACTTTTCAGTAACAATCCTAAATGCAGGGTACAGCTCTCCTTGTCAGCCCTGCACTTTCAAGTCAAAGCACACAAGGAAAGAAGAGGCTAAAGGGAACTGTATATTGGTTCGTGTCCACCAAGGGACTGTTGCAAGTGGCAGAAAGACTTAAAAAATTTCATCAATGATTTATGATTTATACACTCATAACACAAACAGAAGTGGTGTTTCCAGCTGGGATCTAAAATTACTTGTGTCCTAAAGAAGTCACAGCCCTACTCTAGCAGCATGCTGCCTGTTCCCTAAGGCAAAAGGGACACAATTGGAAATGCCCTAAGATTCTGTCCAGAAATACTCTGTGGCACTGGGGAAAAAAGAAGGCTGTACGGCAGTGCTGTCAACACAACAGAATGACACATGGCATAGGTCACCACCACCCTTGAACATTCCAGTAAGTCCTTCCCGGTGCCTGCGCTCCCCCAGACATTCTGTTGCTCTGACATCCCCAGGAACTCATGTTCCTCTCTTACCTATGATTACTCTTTTGCAATCTCAGATTTTGTCCTATTCTCTCCTTGCTTCGTAAATATTTCAATACCGTGCAACTGGGTGCTGAGACAGATGATGGTGGGGCAGTGCTGAGAAGGGGGCAATGAAGGAGAGCTGAAGATATGATGCTACAACTGAAGACGTTATATTATCTCCCACAACCAGTGCTCAAAGCACTGCAGCAGCTGGAAGGTCTGTTTAGAGAAGCAGCTGTGTCCAGAAAGGAGACATTCTACCCACTACGGACACACAGTGCTGCAATGGCAAAGGCACAGCCGAAGGATCAGCCCCTCATGGTGCCCATTCTACAGCAGCCCGTTTTGTTGTCCAGTATGTCAGTGAAGCACTCCCTCTTTCCTGCCATTTAACCTAGGCTTTAGCTGCACAATGTCCTTAGCCACTGTGGGTCTAATACAATGAGAAAGAAATACGTCTCTTCTCCTCTAATTTTTTTTATTTATTTACTTGCTGCTTCTTTTCTTTCTGTGGCCTTAGGGAGGAACACCAGAAAGTTGCTGATGTTTTTCTCTCCAGAAAATCAAGGCTGAATCACCACACAGCATACATTATGCAGTTTGATAGGAATTTGGCTTTGCTAGATGAAACCTGCCTTAAATATTCCCAACTGGCTACCATAATTCAGGAGTTTGAGGTAAGGCTCCCACGTTTTTTTACCTGCACTAATGCATGGTTGTGCCACAGGGCTTACTCAAAGATGTTTTTCCTGCAACTCCACCAATGTTCACATAGGGTGGAATGGGAGAATAGCTCTCTTCACGCATCCTGGTGCTGAAACTGAAGTGAGATGTTCATGTGTGCATGATGTGTCTGTGTCTGTTACCCACACACCCCTGTGTGTGCATACAGAATGTATGTTTGTGAATCTACAGATCTGTGAGTATATTTTGCTGAAATATATGCACATAGTGGAGTAGTTTCTCAGTCACATATTAACTTATCAAGCTGTTTGAGGATGTGTTAGAGTTTATTATTATTATTACCATCTCTTCATATCTTCTCTTCTTTCACTGCATTTTCCATCCTTTCTTTTGTACTGGGTCGGGCCAGGATAAGTTAGGGTTAGCCTGTATAGGTGCTTAGCTGCTGGCAGTGATCAGCCCACAACATCTTTACAATTGCATTTCTCTGCATTTTTAAATGTTAACTGCTTCCTCTGTTTACAGAGGATGTTGTGACAGGCAACACTGAACTGCACAGGAAGACACATACAGGGATCTTCGCTGGCCAGACACATACAGGGATCTTTTCATCTAGACTCCCTGAATGGTCTGTAACCTCTAGGCCTGTAACCTCTGGCCCTGTAGCAAGAAACACGTATTTTCCAGTTGTGTTAACTCAGCCATCCGTGCTGAATAACTGAAAAACACAAGATACATGTGACAGAAATTCCATGATTCCTGACTACATTTTAAAGTACTGGTAATGTGGCCACTTCACATAATTTCAAAAGCATAAACCCATATGTGGATGGGAAAGTTCAGTTGGGCCATACTGACTCTATTGAGCTAAAATGGTTAAAAGCTATGCTGCTTTATTGTGGGTCTAGAACCTCTGTTTCTTATTATCTTTTTCTGGTAAGAGAAATAACAATGTTTACTTGGGTGGCAGAGGGGCTGTAAGGATAAATTAGTGATCGGACCTTAAAGGTTATTTAGAATGCCGGCTCTATGGGGTATGGATTGTGTTTTTCTCTGCAGCACATGTGAAATATTAAGGATAACAATTAATTTCAAAAGACATTTGGAAGTCAGCATTTACAAACAGATACCTTGCAGTCACCACAATTATTTCCTGTTAGCAGCTGAGGGGAGCTCTGATGGCTCACACTTCTCTGAACATGAACTTGGCAAATGCAGGCTTTCTACTGAGAGCCTGTGTTCGCAGCATCCCTCCCAGCCAAATGCCTATACATTTCTGTCTTAACTATCAACCCTGAGAATTAGCTCTTATTTCTAAGAAAGCAGATGAGGCTTTTCCTAGGATGAGATCAGCAGGATTTTGCCCTAGAATCAGTGACTTCTGTAACTTCTTGCCCTTTTGCCTGCATGCATACACGCACAAAGGAGGGGGAGGTGTCTCTCAGTCCTTTCCTATTGCATTTTTTTAAAGCATGACCACTATTAGTTTTCCAGTCTAACAACACAGAATTTAAGGCCTCATCTTGTTTCTGGCACCTTTGACTTGAGTACTGGGAATGCTCAGCACAACCCTGAACGCACATTTGGTGAGAGTAGTTAGCCAGTTAGAGGAGGAGTAACATGAAACATCTCTACTGCCTTGGAAAATACTGTCTCTTGCCAGCCTTCCTTTAAACAGCTAGATTCCTATTCTCCTTTTGTCCCTTCACAAGTGGCAAACACTTCAGAAATGTTGGTCAAAGAACACTGAAACCCTGCGAAACTCGAATGGGTTTTGGACTCAGACCTTGTACGGAATCAGCTGGGTTTTGTGCCACTCTCTCAGGTCCTGTAAGCTTCTGTTTCTTGGTGCCTCTGGAGATGTGGAGACTTTTGAGGACTGAGTTTTGTGGCTTGCTGTTGTTTTTGCAGCAATGTTGTGACACTTAACACACACTAGATATACAGCAAGTTTCCTATGTTAATTGAGCCCTTATAGAATAGAATCATTTAGTTGGGAAAAGCCCCCAAAGATAATGGAGCCCCACCGTAAACCTAACACTGCCACTAAACCATGTCCGTAAGCCATGTCTTTTTTAAATACCTCCAGGGACGGTGACTCAACCACTTCCCTGGGCAGCCTGTTCCAGTGCTTGAAAACCCTTTTGGTGAAGAAATTTTTCCCAATATTGAATCTAAACCTCCCCTGGCACAACTTGAGGCTGTTTCCTCTCGTCCTATCACTTGTTACCTGGGAAAAGAGATTGACACCCACCTCGCTACAACCTCCTTTCAGGTAGTTGTACAGAGCAATAAGGTCTCCCCTGAGCCTCCTTTTCTCCAGGCCAAACAAGCCCAGTTCCCTCGGCCGCTCCTCATAAGACTTGTGCTCTAGACCCTTCACCAGTTTCGTTGCCCTTCTCTGCAGGATGCCATTGGCCTTCTTGGCCGCCTGGGCACACTGCCGGCTCATGTTCAGCTGGCTGTCGACCAGCACCCCCAGGTCCTTTTCCGCCGGGCAGCTTTCCAGCCACTCTTCCCCAAGCCTGTAGCGCTGTAGAGCTGCATGGATTCAACTTGGCCTTGTTGAATCTCATACAGTTGGCCTCGGCCCATTGATCCAGCCTGTCCAGGTCCCTCTGCAGAGCCTTCCTACCCTCAAGCACATCAACACTCCCGCCCAACTTGGTGTCGTCTGCAAACTGTCTGAGGGTGCACTCGATCTCCTCATCTAGATCATTGATAAAGATATTGAACAGAACTGGCCCCAATACTGAGCCCTGGGGAACACCACTTGTGACCGGCTGCCAACTGGATTTAAGTCCATTAACCACAACTCTTTAGGGCTGGCCATCCAGCCAGGTTTTTACCCAGCAAAGAGTACGCCCGTCCAAGCCATGAGCCTGCTGTGGGAAATCGTGTCAAAGGCTTTACTAAAGTCCAGGTAAACAACATCCACAGCCTTTCCCTCATCTACTAAGTGGGTCACTTCATCATACAAGGAGATCAGGTTAGTCAAGAAGGACCTGCCTTTCATAAACCCATGCTGACTGGGCCCAATATGCAGTGACATGCCATGGGTTGAATCTAAAGGGTAAAGAGAAAAATGCTACTTCTTGTCCATGTGTGTGTTAAATCAGATCACAACCTCACTTTATTTTCTTGTAAACACTCTCTGGACATTCAATTCAAACTCAATCACAGGGAGATGCTTTGCTGTATTTTGCTCAATTTCATGTCTTGAAGTAAGATACTAAAAAGTAGCAGGCAGAAGAAACTTTCAGTCCAAAAAAGGAACAATGATGACAAGCTTCGTTGAGATCTGATACCTCTGTCTTCCACCCTAAAAAAATGCCACCCTAAAATCTTTATCCAACCTTTACCTTCTAAATGGTATTCGCTTTCCTCCCTTTTCCCTCTGAGTCCAAACTATTTGTGAATGATGCCATAGGAAACAAACTGTTTACAGTGCTTCTCTATAGTCACAAAGACAATACCCCCTAGCAAGCTGGGTCAATTGGAAATGGTTCAATGGAATTTGTGCATGCAACTGGTAGCAAACTTTCATAGTACACATCAGGTGGAGACGACAGTTTGCTGCTGAGCTCACATATCCCTGATCTTTGTGTTTCCTTTTCCTTCCATTGAGGACAGCAGAGCTCTGGTAGCAGCCCTCAGAGTGTGAAACACCAGCTTTTGAAAGTGGTGCAGCGTGTCTTCCAGTATCGTGTGCTGCTCACAGGTCAGTAAAATCACTCTCAAAGGTACTCAGTGGAAACCCTCCCATGATGTTCTGTGCCTCCACTGTGCCACACGTTGATGCCAACACAGCTAAAATAGGGCTCAGGCAGTGTGGGATTTCCTGGGAACTTCAATATGCTTAGTACAGGATTCAGGAAATGTCAGGGAGCCTGGGAAGGAGCAGGCATTTCTTCAGCACAACCATGCTGAAAGGTCGCAAAAAACTGTAAAAAGTCAGGTGCTTTTATCATTCCTTCTTGGCTTTTTCCTTCTCTGAATTAGGAGAGGCAGAGTTCAGCCTCATTGCCAGCAAACAGGTTTGATTTTATTTATGTCAAGGGCAATTATCAGAGACAGTAGGGGACAGTAGTCCCCAGCAAGGGGACTCTGCACTGCATGCTGTATGACAGTGGCAAGTACCATCTCTTTCTACTCCATCAACAAAGCAGTTGTACCCAGTACTGCACCCTAAGCCCTATGTACAGTACACCTAAGGCTAGTGATAAGTTTAAGTCAAAATCCCAGTCCAATTTCTCTGTATTGTAGGAGGCAGAGATCCAAATTTACATCAACAATACATTTACAGATTTTACATTTATAGTAACACCTTCCCTTTACATTCAGGACCATATATATCACTCCGACCTGGAGTCTCTCCAAGGGGGTTATGTTCCCTCTGGTGGCTCATTCTCTGCAAGCCACAGCAAATCCAGCAAGTCTGAGCCTGTGAGGGGAGCAAGCTCACTGGTGCAGAATGCGGCCCCTAGAAAGAATTGTAAAGTTTAGGTTTGTAACTAATGAACTGATTGGGGAAGGAAATGGTGAAATGTAACAATGAATCTCAGTGTTGTCAAGTAATTTAGTTAGATCAGAACACAAAAGAGCAGAGGTCCATAGACATAAAGATGGAGAAATGCCTTGGGAGTAGGTATATGTGCGGGTGGAGAGGGATGCAAGATGAGTTATGCGTGGGGCAGTAAAAAGGAAGCCATGAACCCTGCCCATACTCAACAGCCAATGAAGGGCACAGCATATTAGAAGGGACTCCTATAAATGCAGCAGAACCATATGAAATTTTTATTCACAGCACAGATTAGCAGCAGTTTCATCTTGCTCCAGACACTTTGATCAAGGATGCAACTCACAGCTGGTTTTGCTTTTTTAGTAGGAGCAATACAAATGAACACCACATGCCAATAGTAGGACTTTCTTTCTGACTTGCTTCCCTCTCTGGGTGTGTCTACATTAAGGGCAACATTCCAGACTTGTGGGTTGCAGTACTTAGTAGTCTCACATGATCCTTACAGTGTTTTTAGTGCACACACACAAATACTGCATCTAAGAAAACGGACTTGGCATGTCCTTGTCAGGAATACCCCCACAATGCTCCATTTTCTCTGCCCATTTCTGTGGTCCACAAGGTAAATTGCAAACATGAAGTATATTTTGTGAGAGAGCTGGAAGGGTTTCAGTGCAGCTCCAGTGACTGGATTCCATCTATGCTTGAAGCCACTTGAGCTCCTCCTTGTCCCAGGTACTGGCACTAACTGGGAAAATGAAAGCTTTTGTGTGTAGTGAGATAAGCTCTGCTGGATTATGATATTCCAGAAAATAGGTTTACTGCTTCAGTTCTTCACCTCAGGAAACCAAGCCCCTCTTTGCCTGCTAGGACAGGGTGGGTCTGGAACAGCGCAGTCCTTCAGATTCCCTAGACAGCTAAAAAAAAATTATGCAGGTGTACTTCTGTGTTCATAACTGGATGTTTCTACCAGATAAGGAGGGTTATTTTATGAGGATATTGATCGCCAATTACTGCACTACAGCCAAAAGTAGTTGCCCACTCAGTTAAATGTCCATAGCCAAGGAGAGAGCTTGCAGCTGTGAAGAGGAACACTAAATATTGCCTGATAACACCACACAACCCCTTCCTGCCTGACTGAGTACAGGCAGATGCTTTCCTGAATGCATGTAAAAGCCAGGTAGATTTCAGGATGCCAGGGAGGGCTCAGCACTAGAAAGAGAAATGTATATGGATAGGACATTCAAGGGAATGGATATCCATGCACAGCACCATTCTCAGCACAGAGGCCTAGTTCTTGCATGCAGAATTTAGGAGCCTGGATTCATCAGAAAGATAAGAATGAAGTATTTCAGGATTAGGCTTTTAAAATGGTGGACTCATATACTACAGTCATTAAAAGCGTAAAGACCCAAAGAACAGACAGATGATCCAAGGCAAGTAGTCCAAATAAAACTGACAGGTTAAAAGTTTGTATATAATGCAAATATAATTCCTGTAAATGTAAGTCATATTGTGTGTATTTTACAGAACCTACTTTCAGAATGTGGTTTGAGTTCAGTAGTAATCATTGAACACCGCATGTATAGAACCAGAGTCTCCTTCCTGTATCTATAAAATGCATACAATTAATTTACTATAAATATAGAAAATCGGTCATTACAGCCAACATCATTCATTCAGATGGGAAAATAGAATACATTAGAAGAACAATTATTTGTAAAGTGGTGCTACTCAGCAATTCTCTTGGCTGAGAAGGAAATATTTTTGGCAATGTTCATTTGTTTATACCTGCCAAGTTATGTGATGATTCCAAATCTGTATCAATGCTCTTGCATTGATTCTCAAAGCAGAATGCAGTCAAAGATGAGTTTTGCTTTGGAAAGAGGCTATATACACTTAATTATTTGGGAATAAAGTGATTCAGGACATTACTGTGGATGCCCCATCCCTGGAAGTGTTCAAGGCCAGGTTGGATGGGGCTTTGAGCAACCTGATCTAGTGAAAGATATCCCTGCCCATGGCAGGGGGATTGGAACTAGATGATCTTTAATGTCCCTTCCAACCCAAACCAGCTAATAACACTACAAATTATGTGGATCTGTATTCTGATTACTGGATGTCTGTGTGTGTTTGATTATTTTCTACAGATTACTTGAATAATCTTTGCCCTGATTCTACAGAGTATGAAGCCACACAAGGTAAAATGAAACCGATAGAACAAAAATTCTGCTTTGCTAACTCTACTTCTAAAGAGGTACAGGATCTATACTGGTAGTATATGGAAGAGGATTGTTTTCAAGATTTTGTGTTAATAGGTTAGATGTAAGATCTGTAAGAACTGATTACTAATTCAGACAAATTATTTAGGGCAAGAACCCTATCTTTTTTTCATTGAAACATGTGGACTTCCTATAGTTTTGACACAATGAACTTACAGAAGAAGAAATCATCTATACAAGCATGGTGCAAATATTGTAGTTCTGCCCCAGTCATCGGGGAAATCCTAGTCCTCTTTGGCTCTGTCCGTATTTGGCCTGGTCATTGTAAAGTCAGTTGGGATGGCTCCACCTGGTTGGTTGTGTACCATTATCTATGGTATGCCTGCTGTGTTCTGTGAACTTTGGAGAAACCCAGGAGGTTTGAATTGTATATCTGTATTCTGGATTCCTTAAGCCTAAGTAAACTTGAAAGACATTGTATAAAAATCAGTTCTGCACAATCAAGAACAAATCCAGAGGTTCAGCTGCTAACACCATCCTTTCCAACACATCAGATGGATAAAGCAGAAGTCTCTCACTCCGACTGAAGTCAAAGCAAGGTTTAGCTGTGGCCTCAGTGGGAGTAGCTTCCAGGCTGGAGTAAGCAGGAATAACATTGTATTAATGAAACCAATTCAGCTCTCTGTTACACTGAGTGTAAATCCAAACCAACTCATAACAATGAGGTCTGCGACTGACTGAAGGTCAGTCTGTTCTGACCAAGAGTAGAGTCTTGTGCAAGATTTAGGACCCTAGTCACTGACAGTGGGACGACAGCTACATCAGTAATTTAAACAAGGCCAGGGCAGACTCTCAAGCCCTGTGGCCACAATTGCCTATCTTGGTTGTGGTCAGCACACGCTTGTGACGTTTCTGGCCAGCAGTGGCTGGCATGCTCCCATATTATGCCCAGAAACAGATAGGATGCCCTGTTCCACAGGAGAAGAGATTTGAGTTAAGGACCTGAGCCATGTTATGCCACTGCTCTCAGGGCCAGCAAACATGCCCTGGCCCAGGTTATTTGCCAGTGGAGAATCCAGGTGTTAATTTATGTCACCACTTCATACACACTTCTGCCAGAAAGGGATGACCTGTCCTCTCCCTTGGCAGTAAGGGGAAACAGATCGCCTTAGATTGCCATGCTTTTGGATGGCTAAAGCTGGGTTACATTAATCTCTCCCTACCACAAGCTCCAATTGTCAAAAATCTGCAACTAGAAAACATCACAAAAAGACTTTGTGCCATGCTAGGTGCTTAAAAGGGTCCTCATGAGCTCTCTTTGTCATGACGCACATGTATGATGCAGAGTTTCACACAAGACAATGATGAAGGGAAGTGGAACTGACAGCACTGTGCTGTGTCTTAAATTTGCTGGGCAGTTGCATTCTGAAGGTGCCAAAGAAGGTGCCAAAGAAGTTAAAGGAGCTGCTGCTGGGGATGTTGTTGGCTTTTTTTTAAAGATGCCCTTGCAAACAGAAGGGATTTGGGTTATTTTCCTACTCTTTTATGTGATTTATGGTGTTTGTTTTGCTTCATCCCTCAGCTGCCTTATTCATTGTTTCTGAAATCACGGACCGAGCCAACGACAGCATGCTCCAAGCGGTGAGTCCTACCATGACACATGCCCTCCTGATCGATAGTGTCTTTTCTGCACATCTGCTGAAGTGAATGCATATCTTTCTTTGCTAAATTCTGAAGCCTCCTCCAGGGTGAGACTCAAGGGTTTTTACAGATCTGGTTTACAGTATTGCAGATATGGAGTAGGTCTATGCCCTTTAGTGCAGCTGCACAAGATGTAAGTCACTGTAACAAGCAGCACAAAGTTTTTCTCCGTCCTGGGGTTGCTGAAACGGTATGTGGAGCAATGAAGTGAGAGACGGGAATTTTCATGGTTCTATTTCTAGCCTGGGATGTTTTTAGATATGAAATGTTGAAGACATCACACATGTACTGTCAAAGATACATTCTGAACTCATTTACATAATTTTTCCACAATTCTGGAATCCCATTGTACTTCAGAAGAATAGGTCATGGTTTATAGTCTTGCAAATGATCACACAAACAAATAGACTGGCCAAGACTTTCACAGGTTAGAGCTCATGTCTAAATTCAGATTTAGGTATCTAAATAAGTTATACAGTTTCCCAAAGTAATGAACAGTTTCTGTAAGGTCAGTGATTTATTATCGGCTACATGGTATTAGAGTCCTAATTTACTGGCAAAGATAGCCTGCATATAGCTGGTCTTATGATCATTTGTTTCCAAGGATCTAGGTGTGATTTTTGTCTAAGATGATAGGGGTTTTCTATTGACATCAGTAAGAAGCAGCGTTGGGAGGCATAGGAGGCAGCAGAGAGACCGTCAGACACGGGATCCATCAGGTTCCAGAGGAATTCAACTTGGTGGACCTCTGGGTGATAACTAAAGGCAGTGCCTTTCTTTTTGTCATACTAGCCACCCACACCTGCAGCTAAATTCTCTCCTGAGGTCCATGTTTGCTTTAGCTGCACAGACCTAGCATTCAGCTCAAGTAGTTACAAAGAAGTACCTACAGTCTTCGCAGTCTAATGAAATGTTGCTCAGTAAGTCTGTAGTTTCAGAGTAATTCTGTAGAGTGGCCAGATTACATTTCTTTTTATGATAAACCTCTAGGCTTGTTAGACCTAGAAAATAGTCATAATACAGCCCAAAATTTTAAAAACTGCCATTTTTAAGCACTTCTTTTCAAGGCATTTAGATTACCAAGGAGTACATGCAGTTCCTAAGGAAGATATTGACTATTATGAGTTTTGCGTTCATCAGCACGCATTTTAGAGAACAAAGCACCTCATTCCAGGCATCCTGCATTTCATCGAATAGTGAGTGGTTACACTGAAGTGTTTCTTTCTCAAAAGATGTCTCATCTTAAGTATTTTATCACTGCATTGGGTCACGGGGATTTCAAGTGATTGGGAATGTATCATATCTTTTGGGAAGCTTTCACATTTTATTTCTCATTTGAACATTGCTGAATTTAACATCCTGCACTGGGATTTTGCTGTGCCTTTGCTAAATTAAAGATCTCTTTGGCATTGGAAACATCCTTCCCTATGGTTAATTACAGATGGCATTCAATTCACTTCTTTATTATTTCATTTACTGAGCAGAGAGAGGGTTGTTAATAATCACTCAGGCACCAAAACATGAAATTCAAGAGACAAAGAGAAAAAACACCTGGGCATCAATACAGGTAAAGGGAAGAAACGAAATGTCAACCCTTTTTAGTAAGAGTTTGTTTTCAGGTAGGATTTTAAGGTTGAAAGAATGAATGCACAGGAATTGTTAGGGAAAGCCACATGCTGGAGGCCACTACAGCTATGCACCAGCACTGCTGACTCAGCATATTCCCTTTAACGCCTTTGCCCTCTGGCTGCAGGGGAATGGAAGCATTGGGTGAAGCAGTGAATTCAGACTGTGTGACATGATAAAAACACAGTAGGTCAACTAGATGAAGGATGTTTTTTGCAACAGCTTGGGAGGCAAGAATGAAAGCGTGTCAAAACCGAAGATGTGCCTCATCTTTTAAAACCGAAGCCTTCATGCTTTGTTCAGAGAAGTGGAAGCATCTGCTTGCAGCAAATGAACCCAGGAGCCAAGGATGTCAACTTTTTCTCACCTGGAAATCTCTGCTGCTCAGGTTTAAAAGCCATGTCTCTGATATGTGTGCCAAGGACATAAATGGAGCCCGTGTATTCATGGGCAGTTTCAGAGCACCAAGTTCAGTGATGATCTTCTCATGGACAGTGACAGACAAAACCCAAGCCTTCTAATATTTGTATCAGAAAGGAATAAGTTGTAGTTAAAACTACTTACTATTTCCTGAATAGAGAAACCTGTCTTCGTGGATCTGCCTCCTTCCCCATCTGATACATAGAAATTGAGACTGAGGCTCTGACTCTGCTTCTCCTGAAGCCAGTGGCAAAATTACCACAGATCAAGATGAAGCCAACTGGTGGGTTTCTGGTTTTGTGCAGAGATGATCTCAAGCCATGACAACAGATCAAGATTTTGAGTATTCTGAAGTTCAAGGTTTTTAAGGTCAAAACTCAAAATTCAGATCTGCATTTTCACTCAATGCAAACCTAAAAAAGCTTGGACCTACTGATTTGGTTTAAGTCCATTTCTGCTTTTCTGCTCCAAGCTTCTCCACCCCCAACCCCATCCCGGCACATCTACCTCAGAACACATTCTCCCTTCATACAATATCAGCCCATTTGCTGTGTTGATGTGGCTCTGTGACAACCCAAAACCTTTAAACCTTCATTTTAAAGACAGCACTTTTTTTACTCCTCCTGATTGCTAAGGAAAAGTTCCAAACGTGAATCGTGTAAACAATGCAGCACACTCTGCTTCAGCAAGCAGACAGCCTGAACACCTTTGCTGAGTGTAAAACATCAGCTACGCTGATCTCTTTGGTTGCTTACTCTCAGCTTTATTTAAAGATAGTTTGGGTATCAGCACAAACTATTTTGTCATCAGCCATTATAGTAGATAGGATGATGACAAAAGTTGGGAGGTGGGAGGGAAGTCTTTGTAGATGAAATGGTAGTTGCATTACAGCCAAATGTAATCGTGAAGGAGAAGGAAAGGAGAGAGAAAGAAGCCTAACAGAAAAGCAAGGTGGATGGAAACAATGATGTTCATACAGACTAATTCTGAGTGATGTTCAGCATTGACAGCAATAACCAGTAGTTAATTACACTATTCTGTTACCAAGACAAAAGAACAGATGTAGATTGCAGGGAGGATGTGGTCTAACAAGCCTACAGTTATCATAAAAAGAAATGTATTCTGGCCACTCAGAATACATTTCAGAATGACTCAGAATACGTTTCAGAATGACTCTGAAACGCACTTACTGAGCAAAGTTTTCAACAGGTTTGATTCTGATTTTCTTTCTCCCCAGGCGAATAATTTATAATCATACTTTTCCATTATTAAAGCATTCTTTGTACCAAAATAATAAATATTTCATCATAAAACTAAGAACTCGGGAAAAGCTTCCACAGTAATCTCAGAGCTTTATGGATACCTGTATTAGAGGTTGAGAACGGTAAGAGCTCAGTTCCTAACCGATCAAGGTCACACATCTTTTTCTGACACCTGTGCTTCCTTAGATTTCACTCAGATTTATGGGAGATTTGTATGAATACTTTTATGAAGTTAGAAGTACATGTAAGTGGCCAAAATCAAATTTGCTGTGTTGCATTACCATGCAATGATTTTATCTCCACTAAGCCATGCTTTAATTTGAAGAATGTCACCATATCATCTGAGTTTTACAGATGTCACAGACTATATAATAATTGCTATTATTAATGTCTGTTTTGGAACAATTTCATCACAAATTCCACATAGATATTTACACTTCATTTTTTATCATATCATCAGAGCACATCTGCTCTTTTTCAAAACTGCAGCCTAGAAGAGATGAAACAAAATTTCCTTCTTTCCCATCTGTATGAATGCTGTGGGTTTTGTGAAAGCACAGGTTCATGAGAATCAAAGTTCAATATACTGCTAAATCAGAGGTTGTCCTCCTGAATAAATATCCCATCCACAAAAGCCACAACCAGCAGTTCTTTTCTTTCTCTCAGATTTCAAAAAATGCAAAGAATTTAAGAAGTTACTCTAATTACAGAACAAACTGAACAATGCCACTCAAGATATAGAGCGTTAATAATTTGTCATGTACCTGGTTGAAGTTCTAAGCACTAATTTAGACTTGGCATGTACCTGGAAGGAGGAAGATTTCTGGTGCCACTTATCAACTCATCAAACGACACTCCAAAAATCTGACAGGAGCACTGAATTATGATCTACATTTTCTGCAGAATATCAATGATTCATTATTAGCTTTTTTGCTTTATGATAATAACACTCTAGCAGTTTTTCCCTGGGAACTATTAACCGAGGATTTTCAGACACATTATGATATTAACTATCTCCACAGCATTTTCATCAAGTAGGAAAATATTATTTCCAATTTACAGATGTGCAAACAGAGGCATAAGACATACCATCACTGCATGGCATTAAGTCTATCTGTAACTCTGGGAGACATTCACTACTTGAACTAAGCAGGGTTTGTATTGCTCTCTGAACTTCTACAATCTGTTAGAGGCCCTGAGATGCTAAGAGCTATAAATTATTGTTGCTATTAACAGCTGGTGAATTCCTTGGGGAGGTGTTCCTCCTGCATAGACATAATGATAATATGATGGAAGCTGCAGTTCATTGCTAAAACGGCCCGAGAAGGATTTCAGCCACCCACATCTGCAGTACTAGTTGGGTGGAGCTTTGTTTTCATTTTTTAATCATAGCTTGTGAAGGATATTTGAAAGGATAATGATCGTTTTAAGGAGAATGAAGAAAACGATATAAACAGGGAATTTTAGGGGAACAGTAGGGAAACTATACCCCCCTCAGCTGCCCGCATTCCCAAATAAATCACTGTCCTTCGCATGTGAGGGCTGTTTGACTTCCTACAGGAAATGAGTCTGATACATCTCTGTCCATTTCCTGGCGAACACATGTCCATATTGCAAATGTCAGCATTACAACAGGCACCTCTGCCAGTGGTCCTAAAAAAACCCGAGGTGTATCTGAGCTGCAGCAACTTCCTCACTCCTGTAGAAACCCCAATGAGTACTAGCATTGGCCATGAGTGTGCTCACAGGAGGGCACTGCCTTTTCTGCAGATGAAGAACGGGTTTCCATTGTGGAAGCTGTCAATTTGACAAGTTTTTCTAGGGCTAAAATACCCTTTAGTGATGGGAAAGTCCTTTGCAAATGTCTTTTGCAAATGTCAGCTGTCCCATGATCCCTGGTATTTCCTGTGCTATTAGTTTATACATTCTGTTTCCATTTTGCTGGCCTATAGTATTTTAGAAGTGACCTGAAAATTTTCATTTGTTACTTCCTGCATTGCAAAAGAGATACTTGATGGCTGAAATTCTTGAAAATGTGTCAACTGCCAGTTATATTGCATGGTCACAGTGCAGCCCTGTGCTGGTCAAGGATTGTACGTGTTTCCATATGTTTGATATGCAGCTACTGATTAAGAGCTAGACTTAGTATCATGCTAAACAAGTGTAATATTTCACCAGGGCAGTAACATACGGAGGTATTTCAGGCTTATCTCAAAAAGCAAGCTGAGGTAGGTACATTAATTGTGTTAGCTGAAATCCAGGGTAAATTTACCCTGACAGACCATCATATTGACATGGATATGCTCCTTCTGGTATCTGTGATAGCTTTTTTAATTAGCTGATTCTGTAGACAGCACTGATTTGTATCAGGCAGATACATTGTATGATCTAATCAAGTCTAACTAAGCCCAGGGGTATCTTAATGCCAGTCAATGGAGCATAGGAAAACAGACCATTATCTGTCATAGCAGAAAACTGTAGTCAAAGGCTGCCAGGTCATGAAGTTATGTCAGATGTGGTCCTTAGACTGTAGTTTATCTGGGTGTGTAACTGAGGATTTAGGATACAATGGCTAACTTACTTAGACAAGAGACTCCTAATTTTTAGACATTTCTGGTGATGACTCATTGCTGCTGTGCAGCCCACTCTACTGTTCTGACCAGATAAAACCACAGCTGAATCCTATGTACAAGCCTCAGTTTTAACAGCCTCACCTGCTAAATGGAAGGAGATTTGAAAAGACTTTAGCAATATTGCAAAGGTAGACATCCCTCCTTCCTCCTTTGTATATTCATCCAATACCATCTTTTTTTATGAGAGCACAGGCTTAGGTAGATTAATCTTATTTACCATCTTCATAGATAAGTTCATGCCACATGCCAATGCCCACTGACTGACTGTGCTTTAAGGCCAGGTAGGCAGTTAATAGTATCAGAGTTTGATAATGAACTTCCTGATTTTTCTAAAGCATCAAAAGAGAGATGCAGCTTCATTGCCTGCTTACTAGTTAACCTTCTAAATCCCGTATTGCAAAGCCATTAATCCATTATCACAGAATATAAACCTCCAGATAATCCTAGCAACAGTCTTATAGTATCAAAGCATGCTTTGGATTATCTGTGTCAAGCCACTAATGCACAGGTCTTTGGAGCAGAAACTGTACTTTGTCTCTGCTTCCAGTTTATTAGTTCCCAGAGCAAGAAAGTCAGCAAAGAGGCCAATGTATAAATACCATATGGAGTTAGGAGGCCCTTTTGAAGGTGAACTGAGGTATCAGAGGTAAAAGGAGTGTAGAAGGCCACAGCAGATATGAATGCAGGTGATGAGGTTTTATAAAACCTGTAAGGCTGGAAGAAGACTTTCTGGGCGTAAAATCCCTGGGCTCAGTTCTCTGAAACCTAATTCTGTAATACCACTTTTAGAGAAATAAAATGGTGAGGAGGGGTGGGGGAAGGTTTGCCTGCTTGTCTAAAGAACGGTCACCATGTGGTCTCCTAAACACTGTTTCTCTCCCCCAGGAAAACTTGCAGAAGCTGGTACACATTGAGCACAGTGTGAGAGGGCAGAGTGGCCTCCTCCAGCCAGGAAGGGTGAGTGCTGCAGGCAGACCTATGCTGATAAGGGCATTGTTTCTGGCCAGCTATATCTCTGATTGTGTGGATGGCCAGATTTCAGACGTCTACAGGTGGTGTTTCCTGAGCTACTGTGATAAGAGTTGGAGCACTGGTTTGTGTAAAAAGCCATCACTCTGGCAGTGCGCAAAGAGATGTGCCGAGAGCCTCAGGCTGGGAAAGACATGCATTGCCCCTGCTTTTACACAGAGAAGCCATTTGACTTTTCACTCCAGCTGTCCTCAGCCACCCCATGTGTAGTGTGTTTTGATGGAGCTGCTGTTTTCCTCCCTA